ATAAAAATAAATTTTTCTTTCCCTTTGTTTCGTGACGAATCCCATCCTCACGTTCCAGCCGTCCTCGTGCCGCCTCGGCCTCCGCCAGCCGAGTTTCACAATTTCGGATTATTTTCAGAAAGTCTGATTTTTTTTTACACCCGCTCTGCTTACTCACCTTTTCCAGTAAACCACTCACATTTTCGCATTTACCAGTGCACTCCCACATTCTCCAGCTCGCCGCACCCTTTTTCTTGGAGTCGGCGGGACTTTCTCCAGTGCCACACAGTGGGCTGGAAGACCGGTAGAGGTGGTCGAAACTCCGGACGCGTTTTGACCTCCAGAGTCACTTAATGGGACTGGAACCGCACTTGTGACCCCACCAATAGATTGTTCTCCGAACGAGGAATCCATTGGGGGGGTCACACGCTCGGTTCGAAGTCCTGTTTAGCGACTCTGGAGCTCAAAACGCGTCTAGAGTTTCGGCCGCCAGCCCCGGTCTTCTGACCCACTGTGTTTGCCGCGCCCTCTCCAAAACACGCGTCTTCCCCCAGGCACGCTGCCACTTCACCTGCAGTAGTGGAAGCCGAAAACAAAAAGAAGAAGAAAGCACTAAAGCGGAGGCACGGGGTCGGGGTCGCGGTCGCACTGATTCGTATCGACACACGCCAGTCGCTGAAATGGATTCCGGAAGTGCTCAAAGGTGCGCCGCCACCCGCCCGGTCTGGAGTGGGTGGGGGCCCACAGTGGGCCAGAAGGCCGGTGGAGGCGGACGAAACTCTAGACGCGTTTTGAGCTCCGGAGTCGCTAAATGGGACTCGAACCGAACGTGTGACCCCACCAATGGATTGCTCTCCGAACGAGGAATCCATTGGTGGGGGCACACGTTCGGTTCGAGTCCTGTTTGGGGACTCTGGAGCTCAAAACGCGTCTAGAGTTTCGTCCGCCTCCGCCGGTCTTCTGGCCCACTGTGGGGCGGCAGGGGGCGGCGACCTGACCCTGTGACCCGTCTGGTGACGTCTGGGCCTGCCGGCGTACCGGATAGGTGGGAGGGCCGGGACGGACGGTAGCCGGTTTGAATCGGTACTCGGTGTGGCCAGCCCGGCGAGCCCCGCAGCCCGATTCCGAGAGTGGCTTTCGTCGCTCTGTCTCTCTCGCACCCACACGGCACGCACAGTGGGCCAGAAGACCGGTGGAGGCGGCCAAAACTCTACACGCGTTTTGAGCTCCAGAGTCGCTAACCAAGACTCGAACCGAACGTGTGACCCCACCAATGGATTCCTCGTTTGCAGAGCAATCCATTGGTGGGGTCACACGTTTGATTCGAGCAGGTGGGACTCTGGAGCTCAAAACGCATCTAGAGTTTTGGCCGCCTCCACCGGTCTTCTGGCCCACTGTGGCACGCCCCACTCGCCCCACGAGTGGGAGAGAGACAGAGCGACGACGCGCTGGATGAGTCCGCTGCCTGTAATCACTGGGACACAATCGGGATGAATTGGGGGGCAATTTGGCGCATTACTCAGCCTCCAGACTGATTCCGAGAGTCGTGATCGTCGCTCTGTCTCTCTCGCACTCGTGGCTGTCCGTAAGGGTGCGGGAGAGACAGAGCGACGCAGTCTGCAGCGTCACGGGGGCCCGCCGCCGAGCCCCCCGGGTCCAGTCGCAGTCCCCCGCACGCGGCCAGTCCCCCGCACGCACGCATGTCGATGGCATCATGGCATTCAGCTTCAGTTTTGGCGGGAGTCGCTTGGTAGTCTGGCCGGCGACGTGCTGCGCGGGGACTGGGGCGGTCACGTCCCCACAGTGGGCCAGAAGACCGAACGAGGCGGCCCGAGTCCCGGACGCGTTTTGCGCTCCAGAGTCGCTGAATGGGACTCGAACCGAACGTGTGACCCCACCAATGGATTGCTCTCCGAACGAGGAATCCATTGTTGGGGTCACACGCTCGGTTCGAGTCCTGCTTAGCGACTCTGGAGCTCAAAACGCGTCTCGAGTTTCGGCCGCCTCCACCGGTCTTCTGGCCCACTGTGCGTCCCCACCCCGTTTCCCGACAGACATCCCTTGCTCCGACGCACTCCTCCTCGGATGCAACCTTCATTGGGTGAATCCGTTTTGTAGTGGCGTCACCCCGCCTCTCTATCCGCTCTATCGTCTACACTCCAAATCCAGGGTGTCTACGCCTTAGGCGCATGCCACAGAAATGGAACTGCCTTAAGGCGCCTTGAAAACGCCTAAGGCGTATACCCCATTGAGCACCTTTTGCAGATAGAAGTTAGCATGTGAACACCATTGGTCGAAGGAAAGGTGCGTGCATTGTACACACCCTGAATCATAGGCACTGAGCTCAACAGGACTCAAGGTGCGTAGAATGCAAACACCGCCCTTGGCCGAGGCCATGCCTACCGAGGCCTTAAAGGGTGTTTACATTCTACGCACCTAGAGTCCTATTGAGCTCAGTGCCTATGATCCAGGGTGTGTACAATGCACGCACCTTTCCTTCGACCAATGGTGCTCACATGCTGACTTCTATCTGCAAAAGGTGCTCAATGGGGTATACGCCTTTGGCGTGTAGAATCAAGGCGCCTTAAGGCAGTTCCATTTCTGTGGCATACGCCTAAGGCGTATAGTTTCTAGACACCCTGGATTTGGAGTGTAGCTGCCCTGTCTTTCCCGCCCCTCTATCCTTGTCACCTCCCCTCGCGGCCTTGTCTATATTCATGTCTATCCGCGCGACACTCCCTGCGGCGGCGCGGCGTGGCCGAGGGCGATTACGCTTGCATCAGCCGCCGTACCGCTCCGTCGTCGGTATAATGCATAGGCGGCGGTCGGGGTTCGGATACCGGCCGGGGCGGGCATCACTCCTTTTTCGCCGCCATGGCGCAGTGGGCCAGAAAACTGGTGAAGGCGGTCAAAACTCTAGAAGCGGTTTGGGCGCCAGCGTCACTAAACAGAACTAGAACGGAGCGTGAGACCCCACCCATCGATTGCTCGTTCGGAGAGGAATCCATTGGTGGGGTCACACGTTAGGTTCGAGTCCCATTTAGCGACTCTGGAGCTCAAAACGCGTCTAGAGTTCTGGCCGCGTCCACCGGTCTTCTGGCCCACTGTGCGGCCGGCCCGTGCGGCCAGCGTGCCGTCTCTGTCGCACTCACGGGGCGCGCCGCAGGGTCCGCAGGGGTGCGAGAGAGACAGAGCGACTCCTCGGACCCGCTCGGGCGCTCCCTCTCCTCCGGCGGCTGTCGCTCCTCTTGCTCCGCTCGGCTCGGCTCGGGCCGCCGTGACGGAGGCTCAGCCAACTCGTTATCAGTGTCGCGCTGCCGCTCGGCCGACGCTGAGCCGGCCTCGCGTAGCGTGGCGGAGCGTGGCGTGGTGTAGCGCAGACGGGCAGCCGCGCGTCGCCCCCCCTAGCGGCACGCGCCTTGCACCCTCGCCTACAGTGCGCCGGCCTCCAGTGCGCCCACCTCCAGTGCGCCCACCTCCAGTGCGCCCTCCTCTAGTGCGCCCACCTACAGTGCGCCCACCTACAGTCGGCCCACCTCCAGTGCGCCAGTGCGCCCACCTCCAGAGCGCCCACTTCCAGTGCGCCCACCTCCAGCGGGCCCACCTACAGTGCGCCCACCTCCAGCGGGCCCACCTACAGTGCACCCACCTCCAGTGCGCCAGTGCGCCCACCTACAGTGCGCCGGCCTCCAGCGCGCCCACCTACAGTGCGCCCACCTGCAGTGCACCCACCTCCAGTGCTGCGCCCATCTCCAGCGGGTCCACCTACAGTGCACCCACCTCCAGTGCGCCGGCCTCCAGTTCGCCCACCTCCAGCACCCACCTACAGTGCGCCCACCTGCCTCCGCCATGGCGTCCCGCTTCCAGAACTACCAGATGGACTGGACGGCGGGGCTGATGTACGCGCCGCCCGCCGCCACCGCCAACGCGGCCAACAACGCCAACAACAACGGCAAAGTGGTGCGTGCGTGTTTTCCCCCATCTAGCGGTGTAGGGCCGTGTGCCACAGTGGGCCAGAAGGCCGGTGGGGGCGGACTAAACTCTCGACGTGTTTTGAGCTCCAGAGTCGCTTAGTGGGACTCGAACCGAACGTGTGACCCCACCAATGGATTCCGCGTTCAGAGAGCAGTCCATTGGTGGGGTCACACGTTCGGTTCGAGTCCTATTTAGCGACTCTGGAGCTCAAAACGCGTCGAGAGTTTTGCCCGCCCGCACCGGTCTTCTGGCCCACTGTGCGTGCGTGATAGAAGGTCGCGCCGGCCTTACACGTGTGTCAGGGTTTGGCGGCCCTGGCGGCCACGAGGCTCAGTGTCTTCATGTCCTGCTCCACGGAGGTCTCCTCCCCTGCCGCGACCCGCCGGCGATGCCCCCGGCCGTGTGAAAGTTCAAGTTCAGCCCCGCCGCCGCTACCCCAACCGAGGTCTGTAGAGGCTTCCTCTCTCGCACCCCTGCGAGACGCCCCGTGTGTGCGAAGGAGACAGAGCGACTGTCCGAAATCGCTCAGCTGCAGCATGCACTGTGAACCAGTGGACCAGACCAGTGGAGGTGGCCAAAATTCTCGACGCGTTTTGAGCTTTGGGATGGACTTCCCCGGACGATGGACCTAGGTCCGTGTGTTTGGCTGTGGTTTTGTTGAGGACCTTTTTAATGCATGCGGCGTGCTGGGTTACTTCTACACTACTTTAGTGACTCTCTGAAAGAATTATTTTAGTGAGAAAGCCAAAGCTTCTTTAGGAAGCCTATCTGTTCTCGGCATCGCTGCAGCCAAAGCAGGATCCAGGCTTCCATCCTAGGCCGGCCGCAGTCTAGTTGACAAGGCCTGCGTCACTGGGGCCTCTCTAGGAGCTCAGTCGCTCAGGATCCGCGGTGTACGTCGTCGGGATAGCAGTTTTCTGTGCGCTCCACACTCGTGCAGAGCCGCACAGACGACCGGCGTAAACCCCAGACGCGTTTTGAGCTCCAGAGTCGCTAAATGGGACTCGAACCGAACGTGTGACCCCAGCAATGGATTCCTCATTCGGAGAGCAATCCATTGGTGGGGTCACACGTTCGGTTCGAGTACCATTTAGCGACTCTGGAGCTCAAAACGCGTCGGGGTTTTTGACCGCCTCCACCGGTCTTCTGGCCCACTGTGCGGCCGAACGTTCCAGCCGCTCCTTTCCTGAAACAGTCTTTTGACCTGTCTATTCGGCGATTGTGTCCCAATTGGCACCGGTGTATTTTTGTCCCATTGGGCCTTGGCGGCCTGACGCACTGCGCGTGTCCAGCCGCCCTGGCCGAGCTGGCAGGCTATTTCCAGTGTGGCCGTCGTGCCGGTACACTGGTGGACCACCAGCGGGACCGGGTTCTATTGGCTTCATTCTGGTGTCTGCCTGTTTATGTGCACTTTACACCCAGTAATTGATTGGCGACACATGACGAGGGCTTCCAACGAGCGCAGCACACTGTCGAAATTTCGCTCGGCACTTAATGGACGATTTCGAGGCTGATTTCTCTTAAGAATGTTGTCAAAGCAGTTGGTGACAGTGTTGCCACTCTCCACAGTGGGCCAGAGGACCGCTTGAGGCGGCCAAAATCCTAGACGCGTTTCGAGCTCCAGAGACGCTAAAAGGGACTCTACTCGAGCGTGTGACCCTACCACTGGATTGCTCTCCGAACGAGAAATCTATTGGTGGGGTCACACGGTCGTTTCGAGTCCCATTTAGTGACTCAGAAGCTGAAAACGCATCTAGAATTTTGCCCGCCGGTCTTCTGACCCACTGAGCGCTCTTTTCGAGCCGCTTTTATGCTTCTGAATGTTTTGCGTACGTTATGCGAGTCTGTAAAGGAAATGCCGACCAACGAACAGTGTTCTGTTTTTCAGTTTCCTCGGCTCAGCTATTGGCACTCCCGAAATTTTTTTAATTTTTTTTTTTCGGCCTTACTGCGCTGCGGCGCAGGTTCTCATGTTTCCGCACTACTCTCGGCTTGCATCGCGGCGCAGTCGAATTAATCGCCTTTTCTCGGCTCGTTTATCGCGCCGAGTGAAGGGACGCCATTAATTGAACATGCCCGAGATTGCAGGAGGCTGTGTGCGAGAGAAATATTGCTTGCGGATATTTCCTCTTCCGCTGAGTTTAAAAGGCAGCAAACACACACACAGACACACAGACACACACACACACAACACACACACACAGTCACACACACACACACACACACACACACACAACACAGAGAGAGAGAGAGAGAGAGAGAGAGAGAGAGAGAGAGAGAGAGAGAGAGAGAGAGAGAGAGAGACTGTGGTCTCATTAAAAACTGATAAATAATTCAAGAAGCATAAGTCAAGAGGAAGACACGCTGAGGTGTGCCAATCATTCGTGACTCGCGAATCTTGCTTTCCAGATTTCTTTACTTTACTTGATGTTTTACATGGACTTTACGTGATGGTTATCCCACCTTTCGTGTAGGCAATCTTTTTAAAATAATTTCAATGTCACCCACCGGTGCAGAGAGAGAGAAAAAAGCGAGTGACCGGGAAGAGGGGGGTTAAGATGAAAGGATTGTTTTGGTTTCTCTAATCCTTGAAAGTAATGCCCTCGGGCCTCCCACGGCACGGTCGGCTGATCCTTAGTGCCGCCAAATAAGCCCCAAGCCTGCTGCAAGCCTGCTGCGCTTGGGCTCGCCGGATTGGGCCGCACCGGACCTTCCACACTTGGGGGACACCATCGTCACACACACAAAATCGTCACACACACATCGTCAACACACACAAACCCCACCACACCCCTCGCACACCACCCCACTGACACACAACACAGAGCAGAAAAGGAAGAGAGAGAGAGAGAGAGAGAGAGAGAGAGAGAGACCTACACAGACACAAACTCATCTACATACATACACACACATACTGATGTCACACTCACGTACTAGTACACGCAAAACTGCGCTATGTGGATACGTACCACTGGCTTGCACGTAAACGCAGGTGTAGGTACGAAGTGGAACAGGTTCCCTGGGCATTCCCTGGGTGAATACCCTGTGAATGTGGATTCCATTGGTGGGGTCACACGTTCGGTTCGAGTCCTGTTCAGCGACTCTGGAGCTCAAAACACATCAAGGGTTTTGGTGGGCCGCCTAGCGCGGGGCTTCTGGCCCACTGTGCGACGGGTAGGCAATTTGGAAGTCTTTGGAAGGCTGTCCCGTTTCCTCTGGTAGGTAGTCCTTCAAGGCCCGGGGTAGAGAAAAGGGGCAAAAATAGCGCAACAGGTTTGCATTCTATTTAACGACATCTGCGTGCAAAGATGATGTTAGCGTAGACGAGGGTTTTTTTTTTCTGGACGTGGCCCCGGCCCTGCAAAGTGGCGCGTGCAGCGCGTTCCTTGGCGGTCCTGGCGCCCTTGATGGGCTGGCCGAGGGCCTAGCCGAGGGACTGGCCCACTGGTCGATAGCCAGTGCAGGGACTGCAGCCCAGTACTAAGTAGCAAGGGATGGGGCCCGGTGGGGCCCAAGGCGGGCCGGGTGTGCCCTCGGTATGCCCACAGTGTGCCCACACAGTGGGCCAGAAGACCGGTGGAGGCGGTCAACATCCCGGACGCATTCCGAGCTCCAGAGTCACTAAATAGGACTCGAACCGAACGTGTGACCCCACCAATGGATTGCTCTCCGAACGAGGAATCCATTGGTCGGGTCACACGTTCGGTTCGAGTCGTCCTTAGCGACTCTGGCGCTCAGGACGCGTCTAGAGTTTTGGCCGCCTGCGCCAGTCTTCTGACCCACTGGGTAGGCAATTTGAATCACAAACCCCCTCCTTGTCTGTCTGCCCTGCGCCGCTGTGCACGAGGAGGATCGTGTACTCGGCCGGGCGGTAAACACCCTGGCTCTCTTCATTCCCTTGCTCCTTTTCGGTTTGGATTATTAATGCGCCAGGATGATGAACACGAGGTGTAGCCAGGCTCAGCCAGCGCCATCGAGGCCTGCACGGCCTGGCCTGCCACCACGGCCTGCAGTGCAGCGTGCGGCCGTGTGCCCACACTGTGGCGCGCCGCGACGTGCACACAAGCGACTGCATCATTAGGCGCGTCCCCCTTTCCCACTTTCCGCTGCTTTTCCGAGCACCTCTTTTCTACTCTGGTCCCGCAGTGGGCCAGAAGACCGGTGGAGGCGGCAAAAACTCTAGACGCGTTTTGAGCTCCAGAGTCGCTGAACGGGACTCGAACGGAACGTGTGACCCCACCAATGGATTGCTCTCTGATCGAGGAATCTATTGGTGGGGTCACACGTTCGATTCGACTCCTGTTTAGTGACTCTGCTGCTGAAATTGGCCCACTGTTGCGTCTACTGTCAAATCGACGACAATTGCTTTTGACTCCATTTGACAAAACCCTCATTGGGATTTTCACCTCAAGCTGATGTTTTCCAAAAGATGACGAGTTGACGTAAGTTTTTACAGTGAGCTCCTCTCGCCTCGGTCCGCATCCCCGCAAAGGGCAGAAAACTTGTCCCGTTCATATTGTCAGTTCCAAAGTGACACGGCCACCGTTGGATTGTTATTTTTCTTTTCCCCGTTCCGCCCTGCCTTCTGGACGTGCCCTGTGGTCTGCGCCGGACAATATTGACTCGGGTGGATCTCCCGACGCCTTGCCTGCAGCCGGTCAAGTTCTAGCCGAGGGGGGGCGGGCGCTTTCGAAGCCGCAGTGGGCCAGAAGGCCGTCGCAGGCGGCCAGAACTCTAGACGCGTTTTGAGCTCCAGAGTCGCTAAACGGGACTCGAACCGAACGTGTGACCCCACCAATGGATTCGTCGTTCGGAGAGCAATCCAATGGTGGGGTCACACGTTCGGTTCGAGTCCCATTCAGCGACTCTGGAGCTCAAAACGCGTCCGGGATTTGGACCGCCTCCACCGGTCTTCTGGCCCACTGTGCGACGGCCGGTAGAATTTGGCGCCGAGTTGCACTGCTCCTTGGCCCTCTGGGACTCGG